TTTTTTTCAATAACATATACATATGAAACATAATGATGCTAATGCGAATGGTAATGTTTGCTAAAAAAATGACAATGTTCTTGATTACAAAATGATAAATTTGCATTCTATATTTTTTAATACATATTTGTATATATGTAAACGATCTTCAATGTTTCTATAAATATATGTTTGCTTTTTTATTTAAAAAATGTTATTGTTTTACAATCTAGACATCACTAATAATTTGAGTGTTTCACATTATTTTCATGGGACAAAGAACAAAGATGGAGAAATCAAAAAAACATTAAAAAAATAAAACAAGTGAGTGAATCGAAACAAAGTGTGTGATTTTTTTTTAATGGAATGTTTTGTTTAAGAAAACATTTACTAAATATGCAACTAATTTAATTTTAAAATATATTCCAAGAAATACTTGAGATAAATAAATACAAAAAATATATATAACGTTTCACGACAAAAAATATAATAAATACACATGTAGATTATGGAGATTTTATTTATGGAGAATTTTCATGAAATTACAAAAACAAACAAAAAATTATGTGGAAGAAATAAGTTTGCCCCTTTGGAGGTAAAGGGTAATTGGTAAGGATATTTAATTGGGGTGTTTCTGAGTCTAAGTAAAATAAGTTCCAAATAAATTAGTAACATAAAAAATATTAAACAGAAATTTTAATAGTTTTTATTTTGCAAATAAATTTTTAACATATTTCATATGTCAGTATGCGGTGATTCATGATTTTCTTTTTGGATCTTTTAATGTGTGTTACTTTGTTATGTTCTTTTTTAATCTACTTAAATATAAAATTTTTTGTAAAGATTTCTCACTAATACTTGATGTTGTCTACTTTTTTTTAATTTTTTATGTGTGAATTTTGTAACGTATTTGAAATATAAGATGAGACGTCTATTTTGTTAGAAATATACTCTTCTAGTCTATTGAGTTAGTTACATGATCACACAGAATAATTTCGTTATTAGGGGAACGTTTTTTGTTTCTTGTTGTATATGGGAAACGTTGCATGTTTAATTTTTATTTTGGCATCAAAACAATAAGTAAAAATAGTGTAAGTGCAGCACGTTCAATTGTATCTTTGATAATAAAATAATTTTTTTTTTAATTTTTTTATTATTTTAATGGAAAAAAGTATTAATAGGGAATATTCTTAATAAACTGGCTATAGAAATCAAAAACTGATATTGCATTTAACCGAACCATATGTGATGGACAGAAAATAATATATGGAATTTCATACACATTAAACTACTTATTTTCGCACGCACGGTAGGAAGTATCACACACAACCTTCATAATGAGGAGAACAAATTCAACAATTTCATATGAGGATTTCCATTCCTACATAAACTAATATTACAGAAAATTTGTTTGAGTTATGCATATAGGACTTTTAAAATACAAAAAATCGGACATAAGGGTGACCTAAAAATATATTTTTTTTTTTTTGCCACGAGTCACCACGTCGATATATTTTTTTGCCACGAGTCACCACAAGGTGGTATTCCATCCAGCCCTTCCAAAGCAATTTTAACAAATAATTTTGAAGATGTGCCAGAGTTACAATCATGGATTTTCTAATGTAGACCGTCCAGGTCAATGACCTATTTTTTACCATTAGTCCATTTACACCAAAACATAAATTTACCGATGTCCTGAACTTGTTTATAAATATTTTTTATTTTAATCACCTCCCTCCTTTATAGATCCCTTTCTAGGCAAGGAAGATATATTCTGAGCCAATCTCATCCTCAAAGCAACATTCTGAATATTCCTTCAGTGTGAATCAGTAAAATTCCCAAACTACAAAACTAGACAAAAATTACCAACGAACGCGCTTTTTAAAATACGTTATATACGTTAAAAAGAGGTAATATCAAAAACCGCCAAAAAGCTATTCTGAAATATGGACTTACATCGAAATGTTTTGCAAGGAGCTATTCCATCCATCGAATACTTTTTTTTATAAAGGGAATTCGTTTAGAAAATGGGGCTATGACCGACCGCAAAATGCGGGAAATTGGGTGTTACCATTATATTGGGGTGTAACAACCAAGCTAAACGCCACGAAATATTACCCTAGACCCTATTTTTAGTATAACGATCATATATCTGTCCCTCGATATCCCATTATAAATTATAATCAATATACAGCTTTCAAGTAAGTTCGCATCCGGCTAAAGAAGATGGGTAATATTTAGGGAATTAAAAATAATAAAAATATTTAATGGTGATCGTTCCTTATTTACCGTGACCTACCATTTGTGTAATACAATTTTTAAATTTAATGTTACTATAATAAAAATTTGTTAAAGGGATCAGGAATTTCAAATCTTCTGGTGGTATCAGATGGCCAGTTTATTTTCAAGAACTGGATTATAATGGTGAAATTTCGAAAAAACAATATTTTTGTACACCATAATCGTCGATCTAAGAGAGATAATCTTAGATTGAGAACAGGTTTTCTAGACAGTTCAGAGCCCTTAATATAAAATTCCATGAAAATTCATTGGAAACCCCCTTAAAGTTCCTCATCGCTTAGTATATAATTAATTGGGTTCTCAAATCCGCTCAAAGCCAAATAAAATGGTTTTGTTCTCAGGCGGCTATCTTTACTCTGACTACAGACAGACGGACGGGGAAATATGCACAAATCGCTTCAGAAAAAAGGAAAAACACTTTTAATTCGACCGAACCACAGTGAGGCGGACATTCAAAATACGTTCAATATATCGGGACCATTAAATGCGGGCAATGCTTGTACGAATATTTGGCAACCAATGAGAACCTAAAGTATTGATTTAAAGTCAGTTCGATTGAAAAGCGTGTCCAAAATCGTCAAAATATCGAAAAATGAGGGAGACCATTATATGGATTCTTCCCCGAAACTCGAACCAATATTGACAATTTTTCATAGAGAGATTTCCTAATCAATGAGGATGCATAACACAGCTAAGTGGCGAGCCTACTCTAAAAAGTGAACCATTATTGATATTTATTGGTAGGAAGATTTGCTACCCCATGAGAACCTAAAATACGGAATTACAATCAATTCGGTTGGAAGCATACCAAAAACAACAAATACTTTGGTTATATGGAGGATATGCCAAAACATGTACCGATATATCCCATTTCCATACCAAACATCCTGGGAGTACTAATAAAGTATGTTCCTATATTGAAATTTTATCAGGAAACTTTTAAATAAATTAATAGGAAGGACGTGATTTTCGAATAAAAAATGTCATGTTGTGTAAAAAAACTCATAAGAATATTTCCACACACTCCATTTAAAGTGTGAGTAAATTTAAACGCATTTTCTTTTTTTTTTTTAAATAGCAATGCGCGATATCCACGAAAAATAAATATAGGAATTTAAGTAAATCATTATATTATTTTTTTCATACATTGTCTAATTTGGTATTATTTTCACCTTCAAAATATATATCCTTAGGAGTATATAAAATTCTGGCTTCGACCACGGAGATTTAATAAATTGAATAGCATAAAGATATCGCATACCAATTCCTCAAATCTAACTTCTTTCACACAAAAATATTAACTATGATTGGTTTTAATCAAATATTGATATATTAAATTTGTTTGCTTATATTCCTCGCTTTCCAAATATTGACGGATTATTGTCTTAACATTCCTATACATACATTAAATTAAAAAAAAACTAAGAACATTTTTGAAAATTACAAATTATTTTACTTCAAAGATACAATTGTGATAAGGTGCTAGAACAAAGTGCACTCACATTCAGCATTATTATTGGATGGATTTTATTTCAAAACAGAGGATATTGTGGTTATTGTTGTTGTTGATCTATTAACAATGTTAAGTATTCAAAGAGAAAATAAAAACATATGTCGTAGCTTTATAAACTATAAAAAATATATACGTTTAAAATAATCTTTATATATTAATAATAAAATAAAATACAATAATAGTTTAAAAGTATATTATGTGTATAATAATAAATGTATAATAAAATACAACAAATACCGATTGTGTGTGACAATTGATCTCTTATGTGTGTGTGAATGACATACAATTAAAAAATATTAAATTAAAAAAAAGAAAACTAAAAACAATTTAATAGGAATGCGGAAGTGTGGGGGCGGTGGACATACAAGGGGGTGGTGGTGGTTTATACAGGTGTTTGGAATGAAGGCGTACGAGCGACCTAGCGGGCTGTTGTTTGGTATTATTTGTCATTTGTTGGTTAAATGTTTATGTGGCGGTTGATCGATCGGTCGTTTGTTCGCTCAATGAATGGGTGTTGACCGGAAGTTGTGAATTTGTTTTTTTTTTCTTTTCGTGAAATTGCAAACGCTTTTAAGAAAGCTCTACAAATTTCACATACATACAGAGAAAAGATATTATAAGATATGTTTTATTAACATTTTGTTTATTTAAAGTGCTATTAACACGATTGTCAAGTATTTTATAGAGATAGATAATATATTTTATAGGAAGGAAGTAGGAGGAGGATCGAAATAGAATGGAATGATTTTGTAATAATTTCTTTTGATTTTCATCAATGTCTTTTGTTTTGTCTTGTCGTTTTTTGTTTGTTAAGTAACGGCCGTAATAAAATTTTGGTTTTTTTGCATCAGTTCAATGGCCAAAGCAAAAAGCAACGGACGGAAAATTTCAACAGTAGTAAGTAGTAGATAGTCTTAATAGTATCAACATAGCATAATCAATATTTTCCTTTTTTGTTATGTTTTTTCCTTGCCTGCCAAATCATATAACAGTAGCGGCAGCAATAATAAAATTTATAATAAAAATAAATCATTGTAAACAGAAGTTACGTCAAACAGTTTGGTGAAGTGATTGGTTTTAGCAAAAAATTAAATAAAAATAAAACGTAATTGGTTCCCATACAATACATGAAGAATTGAATTGTTCTGTTTCTTGTTGTTGTTTATAGTTAACATTACACACTTATGTAGACCCACATCTTCTTCTCTCAGAGGTGTAAAACACCATCTCGGGACTCGACAATTGGTGCACCACCGGCCACTGCACCACCAGTGGCCAATTGATGTGGATGTGTTGCTGCTGCTGTTGGTTGATCATCTAACGTAATACCTGTCATATCGACAATCTCATCTTGATCGTCCTGATCCAATTCATCCGATGTATTTGTATGATTGGTATGATGTGAACCGCTCGATAATTGACTAGTTCGCGAGAAGGAACCGCGACGTGGAGATGTTAAGGTCCTTTGATTTGCCGGCTTAAAGGTGATGATTAGATTTGAGCTATTGGCCACCATCATGTCGGTTACCTAAAACAGAAAAAAAAAATTAATTGGTGTTAATTTGTTTCCCATACAAACAATTTTTAAATAGACAAAACAGTGTCTCGCTTAACAGCAATGTCAAATGCTAATTAACATTCAATGAATATTAAAATAAATACAAAAAAAATTCAGCTTTAAAAGATTTGAAGTATTTCACACATTGATGATTCAATACAAGGGGTCCAGTAGTTTTACGTACTCTTATCAAAAAAGTATCAACAAATCTCGTTATGACAAACTAAGTCAAGTTTACAGCGGTTTTCAGCCACAATTGTAGAATTCTCTAATTTGCTATAGACCAACATACGAGGGCAGTTCGAAACAAAATTTAACATGTGTTCATAACAGAGATGGAAGTTTCCAAAACCCTTAACTTTTTTATGTTTATACCGCGCTTTTTGTGCTAGGCTAAGAACTTTCCAAACTGCTCACGTACTTTCTTAATTTTATGTTGTCTAATGTGAATTAATAAATAATTTCAAAATTTGGAATCCAAAGCATATCAATTAAGTACTAAATAATAAAATATATTATCATTTTGTTTTTTTACTCACCTGATCTAATGTCTTTCCCGCAACTTCAATACCATTCACTTCAATAACTTCATCGTTAACAGCCAGCAGGCCTGTACTTTCCGCCAAACCACCCGGCACTAAACGTGATATAAATATACCCGGCTGTTTTTCCAGACCATTTGCTGTTACACGCACCGATGTTCCATCACGTATATAGAAACCCAATGGCTTGTCACTGCCATGCTTAAGCAATCGCACTCTTCGATGTGTTTCCGGCACTATATCGACATCGATAATTTGCGATACTTGTCGGAAATCGTGTGGCATTGAAATGGGTGGTGCTCTCGGTCTACCCGGTGTTTGTCCCAATATATGACTGATACTGAACGGTGCTCTACGGCCATTATTACTATATTCTAAATCCTCTTCGCGTTGTACAATAATTCGTAAAATGGGTTGGGCGGTTTTCAAGGCACGTGCAAAATTATCATCGTTATTGATTGGCAGTAATCCCTGATCGCGTGGATCAACATATTGTATGACAAATTTGATATTTTTCAAGCCATGTAATTGACACAGTAGGCCGTTGAAACTATCGAATGTTGGCGGTTCATCGCTGCGTTTTATACCAAATCGTCGGAATTCGGCATCAAACTGAAAGTGGAGAAAAAAATAAAGATTTTATATTATGACTATTTGAGGAAGTATATAATGTATAAAATATATAATGTATAAAATATAGTGGTTATAAACTATATAAATTGTTTTATACCGAAGATCCACAGAGTCGTATATTGAAAATGTTCAGACGGTCTTTGTTTTACATACAGAATATATCGGGAAGTACAAACTGTTGATGATCTAATCGTCGGAGATTAACATAATATTGTTTTCCAAAAGGCGTCTAACTTTTTATATCCTCCACCTTGTGTTGGACAATCAAAATGCCTAAAATCGAACTTCATAGCAGCGGCGTTGCACGATACCAAGCTCAAAGGAAAAAGTACATATAGCGTTATGATGGTTACAACGTTATGAGGAAGGATCGTACCAGAAGTGGATGTGGGGGTCCAGCATTCCTTATGCACTCTGTTCAATACAGACCTATCTCCGTACATGAAATGAATGCAGTTAAATGTGTCAAGTGGTGCTTAAAGTTTATATGCCACCGATTAATAGCTGTGAACCGGGTTTATGGCCTAATATTATCTTCTAATTGGAGGGCAATAATCTTCTGGACCTAGGGAATTACAATGTTCAATATGGTTTATGGCATTTCGCCCTAGGTAATGACCAAAAGGGGAACAGCGCTGGCAGAGCAAATTGATAGCTTGGCGTTTTGGACGGTTACCGCTCAAAAAAAGGGAAGTGTCACCAGGTTTGATAATTTATGTTAACTAGCAGCACGTCATTTCACATTTCATCATTTCTGAACGTCGCACTTTCCTTATTGATAGGAAAGCTAACTGCCAGGGTTTCAGAGAGTTCACCAACCATCATTTCCGAGAATATTCAATTCCTTCTGCTGCAGCCGCTAAATTTATTCCTTCTGGTCGAATACGAGATAAGGCCGAATTTCCAGCAGAGGCAGTTTGACTAGCATATGAGTTCCCAGGTCATTGAACTCATGTTGAAAGTCAAAAAATTATTAGCGGAGTAAATTGTTAGGTCATATGAAGTATTACAACGGGTGAGGAAACTTTGGGCAGCAATTAAGTCGCACTCGAACACTGGATGTACCTCCACAAGTGGTATCATTCGTAGAGGAATCTCTATGTTAATGCTAAAACTGCTGAAAATAAGTGTATGGTTAATGGCTGGAGGGTCCCCTTTCTGAAGTCATTCAAAGGTACTAGCAAAGGCGAAATTCGATCCGGCCAAGTTTAAAAAATTGATTAAATCAATTGAATGTGTGAACACCTATCGTACCAAAGTGACGTAGGGGATGATAATATGTGCCGCGAGTTCACCTATAAGAACTATAAAAATGGGTTGGCGCAGGCACATCCTCCTGCAGAGATGAAGATGACAAATACAGATAGCGTGCTGAGGATCTGGAAGGAGCATTTTGAAAACTTCTGGTATCAATCAACCATATATGACGGTATAAAGTGTATACCACCTAGCCAAGATGAGATCAGAGTAGCAATAAATCGGCTGAAGAACAATAAAGCAGCAGGTGCCGATGGACTACCAGTCAAACTATTCAAGACCAGGTGCTGTTCAGCAGCATGCACATGTAGATTTGTACAATTTGGCTAGAGGAATTCATGCCCAATGATTGAAACCTCAGCATCCTGTGTCCCGTGCACAAAAAAGGAGAGAAGACGATATGTACCAACTATAGAGGAATGAGGAAGTCTCCTTCCCATCGCATATAAAGTGTTATCCGGCGTGTTGCGTGAACGACGACGAACGATTGGGCTACGAGAATAGAGGAAAAGTGCGCTACGCGAGCAGATATTTAATTAAATTTTTCAAAATAAATTCAACTCCTTTAAACATCCCAAAAATTTATGTCGCTTTTATCAGTATCCAAAAGGACTATTTAATCCGTATCCGAAGACAAATCTTAGACGTTTCGTATTGGTAATCTTAAAGATATTTAATAAAAAGTGTATTATTTTTTGAACCTCAAGGGTGCCTATGGTAAACATTTCATAATTCTTCTGAGGGAAGTAAAGTGTATTAAAGCTACCGTCTTTATAGCCGATATGACTAAAAAATAAAATATTTTTTTTTATGTTCCGTTCTTTCAGAATTGTGATATTCCAAGGAACCCTTTGATAGACCATTCCTTCTAAAATCTAAAACAAAATTAAATAAAAACTGGTCTTAATTATCTAAAAATAATACACATGATAGATATATAAGTATTTACAGAACTTTAATGGGATGTACGTGACCAGTCTAGTAGTAACTTAATACAGTAGAAAGGGTGGTGGTGGTGATATTTCACAATTGTTGACCCATATATTTGCCTATGTACGGATCCGGATCAAATAGATAAGTAGCCTTCTCTGAGAATATAATGATTTCAATTCACATTTCTCCTTCTCCAAATCCACTACAACGCCCTTAATTTGTTTACTTTGCTTTTGTAAGAATTTTTTTCCTGCACCTTAATTTTATAGCTTAATGATATGCGCGTACTTGTTATTTTGCAATTTACTTAAGTTTTCATTCAAAACTTTTTTATCTACAAGTACACATTGTTGTTAATCAATTGCATTTCGAATTAGTTAATCGGCAGCAGCAGCAAGCACCAGCATACCTATTCAATGAATAAACAGTCAAACATACAATCGCACAATGAGAATATTTATAAAAGTAGCAGCCAGCCAGCCAATATTTTGCATTCAACAAGTACAAAAAAGTCATTGACTGACTGACACAAAACTATAAATCGAAGGCATTGAAACTAAATTAAGAATACAAAAACATTCATGCTCCCGCCGCCGGCGTCGCCGCACATCCCTCACAGCATACAAATTGTTACATCCCAGCTGCAAGCAGAGCAGAACCGAAACGGAGGAGTTTGTTCTAATTAATATGTTCACCACAATGTGAAATATGTTCGTACGAAGAGAGAATGAACAGAAGCAGTGGCAACGGCAGCAGCAGCAACAGGTAGTTGTGATTGTTTTTCGCATTGTGCGTTCCCGATACACAACAACAACGAGTACGAACAAAAATATCTTTTTTGTTTGACTCTCGGAGTAATAATTGTTGAATGCGGTCTAGTAAACATACATATTTTGTATATACATTGTTGTTGTAAATCATGGAAACGGGCGTATTAAAACAAAAAGCAACAACAACAACACATAAAAAATAACAGGAGAGTATATGCAAACTATGAATCACTGACATCCGTCCACCATTCCAGAAATTGTTATTAGCAAACAATCCTCCATATACTGACTGACCGAATGAACAACAACAACAGAAAACCATTATGGCCAAAAGCCCATCCATATAACCATTGCCACAGCTAGCCATTAAACTTGAAACAAAAAAGGCTTACATTCGATTCAATTCGACACGACACGACACGGCTATGTATGTTGTGCGTTGCACACACCGTTTTTCCTTGGCTCTTGTTTTCATTTCTTAATTTCTTTTCTTTCGTCATAACATTTTGTGTTGCGTTTCATGTGATATTACCTTTGATTTCACTTCAATTATATTTGTTGTTACATTTGGTAATGTGTGAAACTTATTTTTCGACATTTTCTGTTCACAGAAATTCACTGGAGGAGGAGGTTTGGTTTTCTTCACTTCACTTCGATTCGATATTTTCTTTTTCTTGTCTTGTTTTTCTGTCGTTTGAGCTTTTCTTTTTTCAGACCATTTACAGTTTTCCCGTTTAATGGTTGCTGACGATTGAGGCACTTGTAGGTGGTTTCTTAATTGTTGGAATTTATGGATTTTCGTTTTTGTTCTACTTGATTTAAATTAAAAAAATAATAATAAAAAAGGAAAAATGTTTTACTGTAGAAAATATGAACACACACACACATTTAGGGATAACTAAATCGATTTTCGACTATTCGATTAATCGAGTTATTACAAAGTCGAAGTCGGCTTTTGATCTTTGGGGAGAAGAAGCAGCAGCCATAAATTCACTGTGAAATGATAACATAGCATGTTATGAATCGATAGCTGTGTCTTTGGGTTATGCCATATTAAATGAAAATGGAAGGAAATCAGTGTTTTCTCTAAATTTCTGGAATATTTTGATATTACTGCATTTATATAGGATATGTTTTACGGAAATTATCCATTCAATCATTAAATGGACAATAAATACGATAAAAGCGGGATAAAAACGCTTTTGCATACAATAGAAAATCAGAATGTAGGTCTGTTGCGTTGCATTTGGGTTGGATAGATGCAATGCAAAAAACAGAAGCAAGAGACACTTGGCAACATAATGCTCTGTCCAAATCAAGCAGTGTGCCACGATCTGCGCCATTTGATGCAACGTTTAGACAAGAAATATGTGTTTAGTAACGTAGAACCGGTAACTATATAAATTAATAGTCAAAGGGCCCTTAAGGCTATCATGTCGCGGAGTATATAATCGGAGCCTTAATATAAATATGATAAAAGAACAGTTCTTCCAAGATCTCCAGCTCTTCTTATAGAAGACCTCCAGCTTTTCCATAAGCAGGCCTCCAGATATTCTATAAGAAAATCTCCAACACTTCTTTAATGAGAACTCAACCTTTTCTAGGACATAATGGACATGAACATATATTTTTCTAGCAGATAGTTTACCGTCAAAGAACTTTAAACAAAGACCCTGATATCTATGTTGAGAAAATAGAAAATTGGGGGTATTGCCCATAGAAAAAATAATAAAGCTCTGTTCCGAGAGATCACCTTGTTTTAAGAACACAAAATCTCCTGGGAAATATGCTTTTAACCTTATGGACATGAACCTTCATTCAACATTTTTCCCACAAGATATTTTACCCTCCTGTATACGGAAGCATCGGCAATCTTAACTGTTATACCCTCAATGATAGGAAGGAAGTTATATTAATTTTGTCATTCCGTTTGTATCTCATCGAAATATTAATTTCCCACCCTATAAGGTATATATATTCTTGATCGGGGTAAAATTCTAAGACGATCTAGCCATGTCTGTTCGCCCGTCTGTTGTAATCACGACAAAATATCGAGAGCATAGAGTCGCCTTTTGTCTGCAGGCAAGTCAAGTTCGAAGATGGGTTATATCGGACCATGTTTAGGAATAGCCCCTCTATAAGGGTACCGCCCAATTTTCGATATTTTGGGATTCTTGAGCGCGCTTTTCAGCTGAAATTTGGTACATTGGCTTCTTTTTGGGTACCAAATGACTCCCCTAAATGTTATAAATATCGGTTCACTTTTTCTGGTAGTCCCCATATAACAGTACCCTTCAATTTAAGGTATTTTAAGGGTTTAAGCGGGTTTTTAAACCGAATTCGTTGAAATTTGGTACAATGGGTTCTTATTGGGCACCAAATTTCTCCACTAAGTATTATAAATATAGGTCAATTTTTTCACGTAGCCCTCGTATAGGAGCACCCTCAATTTTCCGTATTTTGGAGTTCTTGAGCGCGTTTTTCAACCGAATAACCTGTAATTTCGTATTTTGTAGTCGCATGCGGTAACAAATCTTCCTTCCCAAAATTATTAATATTTGCCTCCTTTTTGGGATAGTTCATCATATATTAAAATATTCAGCCGATTAGTTCCTACCATAGTATAGGAGATAGTCTTTATTCGAAATAGTCAGTTTACCGTACAAATTATGGAATTGTAAGACGATTTAGCCATCGGTTGTACTATTCCGCTTTCTAAGGAAATCGTGATAAAAAAAACTCGAACCTGACGATGGTGAAATATATCGGGCAGCATTTTGGCATCTCCTCTATATAATTATACCTCCTGAAGGAAAGAATTGAGACACAAAACAAAAATATTGGGTTCGAAATTTACATATGTCGGTCATTAATTTGTATTTGGTGTAGATAATGATTTACATAAACCGGTTTGTAGAATTATCGGTATATGTTCACTTTTTGGTATCTACTAATTTTTACTATTTTTTCGACATCATAAAGGAAAAATTGTTAACGTATGTTCAGTTTCCGTACTGCAAGAATCTATTACTTTTTACTACGATAACAGTGTAATGGTAGTCCACAGTCCAACTGTAGATTCACAACGAAAGCTGCAACAAACAGTTGATGGAAATTCAAAAAAGAACGATAGTGCACAGTACTTTAATGATAGAAACACTTGAAATAGAGTAATCAAAGATTTTAAATGTTTCGACTTAATCCGACTTACGACCTACCGGTTGAGAGATGTCCAAGTAGTGACGAAAACTGCAAACCGTAGCCGAAGAATTTCTGGAACCAAAACTGCTTCCAGGTCACACAAAGTTGATTCTCCAAGACCTATATGCGCTTTCGGGCTAATAAATAGAAAAAAGGGACAAAAAGAGGGAGTCGGAAAAACGTCACAAATTAGTGATTGATCCAAAAACGGTTAAAAACTTAAACTAGTATCACAGGTTGGGATGGGATAGGGATCAGGATCACAGATTAATTTTTGCCTCTTTGATGAAGCGAATTAATTTCTTGAATAGGTCTTCCTCAGTGGTGATTGAATTATGAAACATGTTTTAATTCTGAATAACAAATTACAATCTGGCAATATCTTCATATGGCATCACTTGATATCGATAACACATTCTAAATGTCATCGGCCGGCATATGCGATAAATGAAAATGAAACCTTGAACGCTGTAAGAATTGAAATGTCAAAAGCGTGAAGTAGTAAAGCAAACGATTTGAGGGGCAAAAATTGTGTCGAGAAAATAAATAAATATTTATAGAAAATAGTATAGTTAAACGCTATCAAAATGGATGTACGGCCCAACCAAACGATATACATCAATAATCTCAATGAGAAAATTAAAAAGGAAGAGCTGAAGAAGTCTCTCTACGCCATTTTCTCACAGTTTGGGCAGATTCTGGATATTGTGGCGTTGAAAACATTGAAAATGCGTGGCCAGGCATTTGTTATTTTCAAGGAGATTTCAAGCGCCTCAAATGCGCTGAGGACAATGCAAGGCTTTCCTTTTTACGACAAGCCAATGCGTATTGCTTATGCGAAAACAGATTCGGATGTGGTGGCCAAGATGAAGGGCACCTACAAGGAGAGACCAAAGAAAGTTAAACCACCCAAGCCAGCGGCGCCGGCTGAGGACAAAAAGTGAGTTGCTTTGGGGGGAAGTTGTGAATTACTTAATCCGCTAATGTTTTGTTTTTCGTTTCTTTTTTTTTGCAGAGACAAAAAGAAGAAAACCACCAATGCTGAGAATTCCAATCCCAATGCCCAAAGTGAACAGCCTCCTAATCAAATTCTCTTCCTTACAAATCTTCCAGAGGAGACCAATGAAATGATGTTGTCTATGTTGTTCAATCAATTCCCCGGTTTCAAAGAAGTTCGTTTGGTACCAAATCGTCATGACATTGCCTTCGTGGAATTTGCCACCGAACTACAAAGTAATGCTGCCAAGGAAGCGTTGCAAGGCTTTAAGATTACACCGTCACATGCTATGAAGATTACATTTGCTAAGAAATAGTTTAAGGTGGAACATCTAAGAGTCTATATGTGTAATTGCTTTTGGATTTTTAAGGATTCAACAATACGACACAATGTATTGGCGGGGTCCCATAGAATCGTATTTATAATTTAGGTAAACGAGTTTTTTTCTTTTGTAAGACATTTTACAAAATTACTACGTATATGAAGAGAAAATATACAAAACAGAAAATGAATTTCAAATATTTGAAAAAAGATGATTTTTGATTTTTCTATCCGGTTACAAAATTAGTTCTCATCTTGATTTAGTGATATTGCCTGATTATTTGTATTAATGCGAGTATCGTTGGGCAGATATTTTTCTACTGCCTTTGTTAGATTCTCCGAATCTCCACCCACAATTGTATCCATAATCTCGTGATTTTTCATAAACACAAATGTTGGCATACTGCTCACGTTATAGTCCATTGCAATTTCTTCACAATCGTCTACATTTATTTTTAGTACCACAACATCTTTGGAGTAAAGCGTTGAAAGTTCTTCCAATTGTGGTGCTATTAGTTTGCAAGGACCACACCAGGTGGCATAGAAATCGAGCACCACCAATTTGTTAGTGGCTGCTGATAGATGTTTATCCAGATCCTCTTTGCTCTGAATGTTGTAAATCATGTTTGGCTTATTTGTTACGATTATTGTTTCTTTTTGAAGTTAAAGTCAAATAATAAAATTAATTTGTTCTTCGTTCCGAAATGCGAAATTTTTCCATATTCAAAAGTGGCTGTATTTAAATTTGTCAAGACTTTTGGAAGACCAAAAATATGTGTCGGCGAGTTAGTCATGTCCGTCTGTCTTTTGTAATAACGTAGATATCGTCATATTTAATATAAAGCTTCATACTTGGGTACTACCCCTCGGATGTTTAGGATTTCCATATGGTACCGTTTTCTGGTATTTTTAAGGATCTGGCTAGATGTTCCAAGAGAAGGGGCTATAACATGGAAGTCCAAATTCCTGGAGGTTGGAAAAAAGAACAAATTTTTGTACGACATTTTCAATACAGGCCTCGTTTTCATATTTTATATATTTTCATGGTCCTAGATGAATTTGCCAACTGAAGGGGGGGCTGTAATTCCAGGTTCTTCGAAGGCGAAAAAATTCTTCGCAAACAATTATCACTATAGGTCAATGTTTAGCAGGTTTAGGTATATTCAAGGTCCTAGAAAAATTTTTCCATTGAAGTGTAATTTGTCCCTCAAAATTAGAATTATGTTCAGACCTAACCCCATGTAATGGTTTGCATTTTGGCATTCCGGGTTCTTGGAGTTAAAAAAAAAAATTAATACGCATCAATGTTTGGACATATACCTTATATAATGGCCCCGATCTATTTCAGATATGTTTATGGTCTTAAGTCTAATTTCCAACCGAAGTTTTTTTGTAGAAAATTGTCAATATCGGATCTATGTTTTGATATTGCCTCCATATGGTCCTCCCAGGTCCTAAGTTTAATTTTTTAAACGAAGTGGATGTATTTTGGCTTTCGGATTTCTTTAAGGGGCGAAGTACTCCTTCGGAGTACTTTTACCGGTACTCCTTCGGAGTACTTTTACCGGAGTACCTTTATTTGAGGTTATGCGTTGACATAACCTCAAATAAAGGTCCCGCTCTAGTTATTTAAGGTGTTTTTATGGTATTTGGTGTAATCGAAGTCGATGTAGTTGGAATTTCAGGTTTGTGAATTGTTCTGCGGGGAAGTATTTGCTCTTCCATGAGATGATGGTTCCTTGCCAGACTTGTCCTTTTTCTTATTCCGACCAAAGGTGGGGCTACTCAAAAACTTAGCAACAACCGCTTCATCTTTGTCAATTGGTGTAGAATCGGGGCTTTGAGACACAGCCCTCAACACGTCGATCACCCTTATGGATGACAGTTTGTGTTAGGGTGTGCTCAACAGCCTTTTTCATTGCCTTTTGACTAGGGTTAGGCTTCGGAACAGAAGTCAGCTTCACACATTTGTCAGAGGAGTTTGACAGTGGAGTTCGCCGACTCTGCTACTTTGCTTGGTTCCGAGGTCTCCTTGGAGATTTTTGGCCGAGGCGTCTGTTTCGGGACGGAGATCCTGTCCATCTGGAGCCCACGGCAAGTTCTTTCGAACTTCCTTACGAATTTCATCTTGCTCTTGATGATATGAACCTCCCTCTCCGAAAGCAAATACACATCTCGCCCTACGAATTTGCGGAGATATGATACGGCACGTTTAAAGTGTTTCGCATTGGATGCTTCTCGGGTTCCAACCTTTGAATCTTTGTTCGTTGCTGAGGTCCCTATAGATTCTCCATCGTCGGACATCGCTTCAGTCGCGGTATACCTTTGAAGCTTATTGTCGACATAGGACCGGTTGGAGTCAGTCTTGAATTCGGCCGGTCAACAGGGTCTACACATCTTTCATTGATGCAACAGCAATCCTCTTGCGTAGACTTGGCCAAGGCATCCACAACTAGAGCAGTCGGAACACAATCGCTTGATCTCGACGACACGTGGCTTGTGGTCTCACCAAAGATTGCCGCCGATACTGGGTTATTAACCCCCTGTTCCGTAACTTTATTTCTCCTATTTTTTTACCATCTTTGTTAATTATTTTAAGGGCAATACCCCGATCCATTTTGGTCCACGGGAGATCCGAAGATCCCCAAGGTTTCTACGAAGTGCAGAAAAAAGATCCGGCCTAGTTTGACCTATGTCAGATCCACCATCAGATTGGAAACTCCCCTAGGCATCTACCTAAGATGAAATTATAAATAAATATCCATCCAAGTGGACCAAAAAAATTGTCGTCTAAGTTGAAAATTGATATGATCATCCCGAGAGGAAATTATCCACCCAAGTGGATAAATTAAAATTACCCACCGAAATACAATATTATCCTAAAGGTACGATAAATAAAAATAATCACAGCTTACTCTGAATTTTAAATACCTAGATCCAATCCTTAAAAAAGAGTATTACAAATTCAAATTTGTTTCATCAAAAAATATATGTATAGGATTTTTATTATTATCATTTTTGTTGTTGTTCTTTTTGTTGTAAATATAATGTATTTACATTAAATTAAATATATATATTTTTTAAAACACATATTATGTATTAAGGAGGACGACGTAAGTAGATATAGAAACACTCACACACACAATTTTATTTTGTTAAAAATTTACGAAAATCTGCATTACTTTTGGGTGCATCTTGCGGCGCGGGGATAGAAGATTCTAACGTTATTGCGGCTGTCGCCGCTGGTGTTGCTACCTTATTTGTTAAATTCTTTCGCACCGACATTGGTATGAGGGACATTCGTGGTTTCTGTTCGAATACTTTATTACGTTTACTGACCAACCCGAGCATTTTCATGGGGTTTGAGGTTGTAGCGCCGGCTGTGGGTTTTGGTGGTGGGGCGGAGATTGCCACGGATATCTGGAGAGAGGGAAATAATTGATTAGTTATTTATTCGATTGGGGTTTGATTTTTAATTGTGTTTACCTTGTGTCCTCTTATTTCCGTACCATCCAATGCCATAACAGCTTTACCGGCTGAGGCTTCTTGCTCGAATTCCACATAGGCAATTTGTTTAAATTTACCAGATCTGTTTGGGAGAGAAGAAGTAATGATGGGAATTAGATTGTATTAATATTAAAAAGTTTAGTTTGTAACTTACTTATGGTATACCAGTCTCACATCTTTCAATCCCCCATAGGGTTTAAATAAATCCTCCACTTCCTTTTGGTTGGCATCATTGGGTAAACTTTTTACAAATAATTTTTGGGGTTCCATTTCGGCTAAAAAAGAAAGAAAAAAAAATAAACAAAACAATGTTATCCAGTTTAAAGCTTTTTATCTATAAAATGACTTATTCTAAGGAAATAACAATAGATGATCTTCTTCTGAAGACCTTCGGAAGGTCTTACAATTAACGGAAACCCTTTAGAGGTCTTCGGGACACATTCTATCTACATTATTAAGGCTTATAAAGTTCAGTTAACACAATAACTTAATTCGCCGGATCACCAACAACGTTGTGTCGATTCTGATTGGTTTCTATTGCTTTTTCATTGTACTATTTTACCTGAATATTTGAATTTCTGACGCTGCTCTTTATCTCTCAAAACACTGGATATAAATACCGGTCTTCCACGGACATCTTTGCGATCTAAGGATAAAGCCTTTTCCACCTCAGCCTGCAAAATAATCGCAAATAAATAACAGAACCCTAAATTCCAATGAATATCAATCTCACCTCACTAGGCAGCACAGCATAACCAAAACCACGACTTCTTCCATTACCCGAACGTATCAATTCAATATCGACAATATTCAGCTCTGGTAATTCTTCTCGAATTTCATCTTCTGTTAGGTTGTAGTCTAAATTCGAAAGAAATATACGTAGATGATCTTTAGATAAATCAATTTCTTGATTTTCATGTTCTTTAAATGTGGCTTCTTTTTTGGCATCGCCAACTTTAGATTGTGATGTTGTTGGGGCAGGTTGTTCATCGCCAAATTTGGTTTGTTTGGATGGTGGAGCTGATGTACTTTCGGTTTGGTTATTCGATTTTCTTTTTGTCGCTGTCTTTGTGGAGGATTTTTGTGATTTTTGCTGTGCAAATGTTGTTGACGCCTGTACACTATATTGTTGTTTAAATGTATTGCACTCTTTTAAACAATTATTGAGAGTTTTTACATTGCCATTACAACGTTCAAAGCGTTCCCAGGCAGATGTTATTACCAAAGGATTATCCAAACCGGGGGTATTTAAAGCTTTACTAAATAATCTGTAAAGAAAGTTACATAAAATTATAATCAATACACAAGAAAATGATAATCTAACGTACCTCCTTGTGGCCTCCAAATCTCTACGCATTTCCAATAAGGCAAACTCAATCCATAGACCAGATTTCAAAGCATTATCGGCACTCTCTATGGAATGAAAACGAATAAATTAGAATCATTTTAAAATGCAATAGAAATAGCTATATAACTTACCCATCACCGTAGTCCACAATTCTTTACCCTTTTTGGGATCCTGCAGCGGCCCATATTCTAGTCGCCCCCAAAATTGTAATATCTCACAATTACAATCAGCCAAAACACCCCATTGTTGGCCCAATATAGTCCATGCCAAATTGAAATTCTTCCTTATTATATCACATTCATCTGGATCGGTCCAATCGGTATGTCTTCTTAAATATGTTAAATATTCCAACCACACTGTCACCGCTGGTTCTGGTGTCTGAAAACCTGCCACAGCTGCACTTTCCAATACCTCCTGTACCTCAGTCTTTGATCTATCCATTTTTTCCAATATTTGTATCCTTTTTATGTACAACTCCGGTGACCAGGTACAATTCCTCAAAGCCCTCTGACAAATATCATCTGGCGTCTGTTCGAACAGTGGTAATTTTTGTAAATCTTTTGGCCTACCAAATTCATCACGATAATCTATAAAGTCAATATATTTAAGCCAACAATCCGCGTTCAGGCAACATTCAGCCACCATACGTTCATATATAGTTTGCAGGACATTTTCATCTAAATATTTATCAGATTCTTTGATATAATCAAAATATACCTCAGCACGTTCTCGATATAAATTGGCACCCAACGTTTGTAATTTTTCTTCGTATGGTAGGATTTTCTTTAAATGTTCTTTGGCTTTAAAATATTTAGCATCTATTGCTTCCCAATCTATGTCCTGTCGATCGGCAAATAGTTCTTTATTCTTTTCATAGTAGACTTTAAATTCTATATAACTTTCTTCCATTTGATTTAGAGGATAGCGTAATTCTTTTAAGAAGCTTTGAATGTATTCATCGCGATATGTATCCTCGGGGAATTGTTGACGATATAATTTAAAAAAATCTTGTCCTTTATGACAATTTAGACCATATGTTCCGAGAATTTCTTCCCATATTGCCGTTGAGTCCGTACAACGTTTAGCAAATGTGGCATATTCCAACGCAAGATCACATGCTGAAAAATAAGAAATAAAAATTATTAGATTTTGATTTTCCATTTGTAATTGTTGCAGATAATTCTAGGACCCTATAATGATTATACAGGTTTTTCCATGAAAGGTGGTATCGAGGAATCTACAAGAACGGCGAGAGTTCTTGGGCATAACAGTTCCGTTAAGGTTCATATAAAAAAAGATCTCAAGCAGGTGATAAAAAAAATGTGTCTATTTGCTGCCATTTTCATCGCGGTGTCTTAGCAAAATTGTTGCGTATGGGGCTCTGAAAACCCAAAAGGTATTGTTGAAAAGCTTCTCCGTCTTCAAGGTATGACTGCTTGGTTGTTGTAGCAGCCTGTACCGCTGTATATTTCTTCTTATTCTCCTTAATCTGGTTCTGCTGCGATCTGTATTGGTTGAGTCCAAAGAGAAGATGGGGTTAGGTGAGTGGGTTTGGCTGGCCAGTTGAATAGGTGTAGCGTGTCATCTCCATCAATTTGTGCCAAATATGAATTGAGGCGGCTACACCATCCCGATCTTAATTGTGCCAAAGCTACTCTGTTTTGTCGAGGTAGCAGCTGTTCTTCTGCAGCTATCATAGGCGAGTGATCTCTGAGGATTGTATTCAAACGATATTCTCGAATTGCTTCCTCAACTGCATCCGTGTGAATACGATTCAATCCTGCTTTAAAGGCCTGTTAATCTAGAGGCTCGCTTTTGTACCTTTGGACCTCTCTCTCAGATCATGATCTCAGATCCTCGGCAGGAAAAAGTCTGTAATGTTCACGATATATTGGTTCAGCCTCTCTCAAATGTCATCAATTTTAGGTCCTGACGCCATAATCGTACAATCATCTGCAAATGTCATGATCTTTATGCCGTCCGGTGGGCGTGGAATTCCAGAGAGGTAGAGGTTAAACAGTTCCGGAGATATCACCCCTTCTTGGAGAACTCTCTGTTTAACTTTACAGGCCTTCGACTTCCTTTCAGTTACCACTTTGATAGGTTATTGTAATCACAAAATCTTCCGATAAAAACTGATATTTTGTGCACAACTGCCCGTTTTATGAAGTCAGGTCAAGTTCAAAAATGTTCACCTGTTTGCCATTATCAACATTTTTCGGCATTTGAATTTCTTAGCTACAAGTTAGCCACTTTAATTGTCTGTTTTAAAACGTTGGCCGAGTAAGACTCGGTTCGTTTCGGATAGTAGACCCCTCTGTCGTGGATACACAATTGGTCTGTTCCCGTACTGCAAGAATCTACTAGATTTTACTATTTTCTTCGATATCATAAAGGAAAATTCGTTGTCGTAGTAAAAAGCAGTAGATTCTTCCAGTACGGGAACATATTAAATATCTTCTGATAAAAAACTTATAATTTATGCAGTCTTAGTATCTAAATTATGGTATTCATTTTACTTACAGTAATAATCTCTTAATGCCCGTTGAAAAAGCTTCTTGACTTGCTGGACTTCACTTTCCGATTGGGCCAATGTAAGTTCTACACTAATATAACGCTGCCATAGTTCCGGTGTCAGAGGATAAACATTTGAAAAAGTTGTGTAGGCTTTTCGTATATTATCCAAATCGCCAGTTGTGCTATGCAATATTAAAACAAAGAAATCAATTATTAATGAATACCTTCACATAATCTGTTTAGGTTTTTTAATACTTACTGCGACAACTCACACAACCGCACATATTTATCATAGGCATATTGATTGACCGCCAATTCTTCCAAGATGGCTTGGAATTCTTTTAAAGCTTTGAGTTCTTCATCATCGTTGTCGTCATCATCCTCATCACTAGCAGAAGATGCTCCGGCATCATCATCAGCACCCCCACCACCATTTGTATCACCATCTACCAAATCAACACTTTCGATCTCCTTATCCAATGACATATCTTCATCATCCCCATTATCCAATTGATCAATGGGCAGCGGGCCATTTAACAAAGAGTTGTCCTCCATTAGTTCCACAACAGAGGGCGGTCGCAGTACTGAAAGAGATACATTTGTTTTGGGTCCATCATTTTCATCATCCGATTTTAGGAGAGCCTCTTCCTGTCAACATAAACAAAGAGGGGGAAATTTACTTAACATCACTCAATCCATCGTCTGGCATAACACACTTACCTCGGCCTCATCTATTTCTTCATCAAACATTTTCGCATTACTGGAATCCTCCATTTTTTGTTTTCTTTTCTTATGTGCAACAGCTACCAGATATACTTACCTTTCCGCGATATGTAATTGTAATTGACCAGATTGTTAGGCCGTGTGTTGTTTTGTACAAATGTTTATAAGATTCCCAAAAAGTCTTCTTCTTCACACGCCTGCTTAGACACACGTTTTAAATCAAAGTCTCCCGTTTTTTACTGTGTCGATAATGAAACCATTATTATCGACAATTCTATCATCGACGAGCTGTACTGATAACTAATTTCCGAACGTTAATAAAATCATTCGTTTGTTCCACGCCTATTCGACTGATGGTGCTTGAAAAAAATCTTCTTTAAAAATCCACGCCTATTCGACTGATGGTGCTTGAAAAAAATCTTCTTTAAAAATCCACGCCTATTCGACTGATGGTGCTTGAAAAAAATCTTCTTTAAAAATCCACGCCTATTCGACTGATGGTGCTTGAAAAAAATCTTCTTTAAAAATCCACGCCTATTCGACTGATGGTGCTTGAAAAAAATCTTCTTTAAAAATCCACGCCTATTCGACTGATGGTGCTTGAAAAAAATCTTCTTTAAAAATCCACGCCTATTCGACTGATGGTGCTTGAAAAAACTATTCTTTAAAAATCCACGCCTATTCGACTGATGGTGCTTGAAAAAAGCATTCTTTAAAAATCCACGCCTATTCGACTGATGGTGCTTGAAAAAACTATTCTTTAAAAATCCACGCCTATTCGACTGATGGTGCTTGAAAAAAATATTCTTTAAAAATCCACGCCTATTCGACTGATGGTGCTTGAAAAAAATATTCTTTAAAAATCCACGCCTATTCGACTGATGGTGCTTGAAAAAAATATTCTTTAAAAATCCACGCCTATTCGACTGATGGTGCTTGAAAAAAATATTCTTTAAAAATCCACGCCTATTCGACTGATGGTGCTTGAAAAAAATATTCTTTAAAAATCCACGCCTATTCGACTGATGGTGCTTGAAAAAAATATTCTTTAAAAATCCACGCCTATTCGACTGATGGTGCTTGAAAAAAATATTCTTTAAAAATCCACGCCTATTCGACTGATGGTGCTTGAAAAAAATATTCTTTAAAAATCCACGCCTATTCGACTGATGGTGCTTGAAAAAAATATTCTTTAAAAATCCACGCCTATTCGACTGATGGTGCTTGAAAAAAATATTCTTTAAAAATCCACGCCTATTCGACTGATGGTGCTTGAAAAAAATATTCTTTAAAAATCCACGCCTATTCGACTGATGGTGCTTGAAAAAAGTATTCTTTTAAAAATCCACGCCTATTCGACTGATGGTGCTTGAAAAAAATATTCTTTAAAAATCCACGCCTATTCGACTGATGGTGCTTGAAAAAAATATTCTTTAAAAATCCACGCCTATTCGACTGATGGTGCTTGAAAAAAATATTCTTTAAAAATCCACGCCTATTCGACTGATGGTGCTTGAAAAAATTTGCTTTAAAAATCCACACCTATTGCTATATCTGTGCTTGAAAAAAATTCGAGTAACCATAAATTAAGGTCAGACTTCCACGACCTTCGTTGCATGCAGTCCCAGCTGCTAATCACATCAAAGGAAAGAAAAATCTGTTACTTGTCAATTACAACAATTACCGCATACAATGAATGTACCCAGTGAAACATTAGAATTCCCACTGTGGGTGACACCCACTTGTCAAATGCAGAAGTGTGACCGCATGCATGCTGTCGGAACTTGTGTCAATGGCAGAAGAAAGTGCGCTCTCTTTGCGAAACAATACTTAAATTAAGTTGTATTGTTGCTCTGTGTGACACATACAACGAACGTTAGAAAATAGCTGTTATTTTCATGGCATCATACACACAGTCACTGTCACTGACTGACTGTCACTTATCACCCATTGGCAAAATCAAGATAACAAGTGAAGTCGTGCATTACAGTGTGGTATAAAAATTCGGCCACTCCGGTTTCATGTGCTTGGCAAACAACATCAAAAAACATTACTGCAGAATCATGGCGAAAACAACATAGAGATACACTTCTTTTAAATCTCATTGCCCCGTACCACCACCAATGACATTTACATTGTCGTTGCCATCCATTCACATTTATCTTAAAGATGACACGTGCCAACACGTGACATCGAATGCTGCTGCACGTGATGCTGCTGGCATTGCCATAGCTGGTCCCACACAGATAAGCCATACGAAATGGTCTCAATCACTCGCTATCAGCACTCTTCCGGATTAGGCACAACACAGCAAAAAACTGAAAGGAATGAATCCGAATGCCCGACCAACGTCCTCGGTCGTGGCTCCTTTTCATTAGCTTCGGAGGAACGCAGCACGTGAAATCTTAGTTCGAATTTCCGTTACAATTGCGGGCGTAGACTTCCGACGACCAACTCTTTTGTGAATCCATTTATTGGGTGTTGTTTTACATAATCATATTATATAACATTCTTATTACAATTATTATTAGTTGTAGAGTTGTTGTTGGATTGGGTTGATGGTTGGTTGACAATGACGTTGATGGTTATGGGTGGGTGAATTCTGGAATGGTAGGGTGCAGAACGAAGGTGGCAAATGAAGTGTGAAAGTTTCTTTTGTTTCGAAATCGTTATCGCATTGATTTAATCACATTTTCAGATTAGGTTTTTTTTGCGAATTGATACCATCCGAGAAGTAGTAAATTCGGATTAAGATAAGTTTGTAAATATAAAACTCGAAACGTGAGAAAAATTTGAAAGCCTGTTGGAAATTTTTCTTATGGCTCTATAAAACATCCTTAACAAAAATATTTATCCTTGAAAAATATCCTTTAAAAATCCACGCTTTTTGGTGTGTTAATCCTTGTAAAATATCCTTTAAAAATCCACACTTTTTGGTGTGTGAATCCTTGAAAAATCCACGCCTTTTGGTGTGTGGGTGATTGACAAAGTGTTCTTTAAAAATTCCACGCATTTTGGTGTGTGAATCCTTGAAAAAAAAATTGTTTTAAATATCCCCGCCTTTTGGTGTGTGGGTGCTTGACAAAATGTTCTTTAAAAATTCCACGCCTTTTGGTGTGTGGATCCTTGAAAACAAAATTGTTTTAAAAATCCCCGCCTTTAGGTATGTATAGCCTTGAAAAAATATATTGGTATGTGGATCCTTGAAAAAATATTCTTTAAAAATTCCACGCCTTTTGGTGTGTGGGTGCTTGAAAAAATATTCTTTAAAAATCCACGCCTTTTGGCGTGTGGGTGCTTGGAAAAATATTCTTTAAAAATCCACGCCTTTTGGTGTGTGGGTGCTTGAAAAAATATTCTTTAAAAATCCACGCCTTTTGGTGTGTGGGTGCTTGAAAAAATATTCTTTAAAAATCCACGCCTTTTGGTATGTGGATCCTTGAAAAAATATTCTTTAAAAATTCCACGCCTTTTGGTGTGTGGGTGCTTGAAAAAATATTCTTTAAAAATCCACGCCTTTTGGTGTGTGGGTGCTTGGAAAAATATTCTTTAAAAATCCACATCTTTTGGTGTGTGGATCCTTGAAAAAATATTCTTTAAAAAATCCACGCCTTCTGGTGTGTGGATCCTTGAAAAAATATTCTTTAAAAAATCCACGCCTTTTGGTGTGTGGGTCCTTGAAAAAATATTCTTTAAAAAATCCACGCCTTTTGGTGTGTGGGTCCTTGAAAAAATATTCTTTAAAAAATCCACGCCTTTTGGTGTGTGGGTCCTTGAAAAAATATTCTTTAAAAAATCCACGCCTTTTGGTGTGTGGGTCCTTGAAAAAATATTCTTTAAAAATCCACGCCTTTTGGTGTGTGGGTGCTTGAAAAAATATTCTTTAAAAAATCCACGCCTTTTGGTGTGTGGATCCTTGAAAAAATATTCTTTAAAAATCCACGCCTTTTGGTGTGTGGGTCCTTGAAAAAATATTCTTTAAAAAATCCACGCCTTTTGGTGTGTGGGTCCTTGAAAAAATATTCTTTAAAAAATCCACGCCTTTTGGTGTGTGGGTCCTTGAAAAAATATTCTTTAAAAAATCCACGCCTTTTGGTGTGTGGGTCCTTGAAAAAATATTCTTTAAAAAATCCACGCCTTTTGGTGTGTGGGTCCTTGAAAAAATATTCTTTAAAAAATCCACGCCTTTTGGTGTGTGGGTCCTTGAAAAAATATTCTTTAAAACATCCACGCCTTTTGGTGTGTGGGTGCTTGAAAAAATATTCTTTAAAAAATCCACGCCTTTTGGTGTGTGGGTGCTTGAAAAAATATTCTTTAAAAATCCACGCCTTTTGGTGTGTGGGTGCTTGAAAAAATATTCTTTAAAAATCCACGCCTTTTGGTGTGTGGGTGCTTGAAAAAATATTCTTTAAAAAATCCACGCCTTTTGGTGTGTGGGTGCTTGAAAAAATATTCTTTAAAAATCCACGCCTTTTGGTGTGTGGGTCCTTGAAAAAATATTCTTTAAAAAATCCACGCCTTTTGGTGTGTGGGTCCTTGAAAAAATATTCTTTAAAAAATCCACGCTTATTGATATGAAGGTCCTTAAAAAATATTCTTTAAAAATCCACGTCTATTGATCTAATGGTGCTTGAAAAAATATTCTTCAATATTCTTTAAAAAAAAACAATATTCTTTAAAAATCCACGCATATTGGTGTAATGGTGCTTGAAAAATATTCTTTAAAAATCCACGCCTATTGGTCTAATGGTGCTTGAAAAATATTCTTTTAAAATCCTCGCCTATTCCTATGTGTAACTCTCGAAAATCCTTTAAAAAATATTTCAAATTTCTACCTTGCTCTTGACTTAATGTTTAAGAATTTTATATGTATCCTTTGCTTCTATTCACATATGTGAATGTGTGTGTGTAAGCTTGATAACGTACAAGTGCTTATCACAAACTGGTACTTTGGGAATTTTTCAATGTCACCAGTAAATACACAAAGCACCACTAACATAAACATACATACATTCATATACCCGTCACCCCAACTCCCCCCGATTCACAAAAAA